CCTCGCCTCGTAGCGCTCTCACCACAGATTCGTGGAATCCAGTAGAAATATGTCACCGACATTAAAGATGAGGCTTGGTCTTTTTAGAATCATAGTACTTCTTCCGCCTTGGCTTAGGTTTTTACGTGTCTTACACACTAAGTGATGACGATCTTTGGCAAACTATGAGGCGAACCGTGAGATTAGTTGTGGATCCAGACCATCGTATTCTTTTAATTCGTGAGAAATTAGATTGGATGCATTTCTTTCGGTATTGATCTCAAACGGGATGAGCTTAGTAGACGCGTTCACCGAGGTGGCGTGCGCGTACTCTATAGTACCAAGTAACTTGGCACAAAATTTTTCTCTACCGTACGATACCAGGCAGCGTAAAGAGTCTTCTAACACCAGTTTTGCCGTTCTGCTTGTCTGACTGCTTGCGCCCTATGAGCGTTCGTCATGCTTCGTTTTACACCCATTATGTTCATTAGAGATTTCGGAAAGTTTGCCGTAAACTTTGGGTTCCGATCGCTGATGATAACCTTCGGTAGTCCATGTTGTCGGACTACGGCGTCGAGAAACAACTTTGCGGTGTCTTAAAATCGGCAGTCGTATACGTTGGTGGTCTCTTTGACAGATTGTCTACGACGAACAAATAGCATCATACTCACCCGACACGGGTAGTCCGGTAACGAAGTCCATTGACACTACTTCCTAGCATTCTTCCGGAGTGGGAGTAGGAATCATTAATCTTTCGTTGGATGTTTGACTTCCATCAAGCGCATCTTTCACATGTCTCGATGTACTTCTGCACCGTCTCAAGTATCTGCAGTCAGTAGTACCACTGCTTTAACTTCATGTAAGTTTTGTAAACTCCTGAATATGTGATGTGACTGCATCGCGAAACTCGTATAGAATATTTGTCCTAAATCTCGGCATGCCTGGAATGCATATTTGCTGCATTGCAACAGCTTGCTTCAGATATGAGTCTATGGTGAAGTCGATTGGATAAATTTTGGATCTCGTACATGGCATGAATCACATCGTGGAATTACACTTGATTATACCATGTAATCGATCAGGTTTTATTGGATTGATCAATCGATCGACATAATTATTTAATTATAACACGGGATCGACCCGGTTCGTCAGATCGATCAATCGATCGTCTATGATTGATACAGGCCAAGTGGAGATTACGACTACGCATCAACCATTTACGCTTGATCAGGATCGTATCGGCGACTACGATCGATCTCACCTTGCGATCGTGCAAGTTCCGATCGATCGCAACTGCGATCGTAATCGTTATCATGATCAGTTACAATCGATCGTATCCGCGATCGTAATCTCGGTCGCGCCAATCGACATGGATAGAATTGCGATCAGGTCGTCATGGATACAATTGCGATCAGATCAACATTGTAATAGGGCGAACTACTACATAAGTAGTTATAGAATTAATACATAATTACATAAGTAGTCATAGGGCAGTATCCTATTAGTGGATACTTTATTATTGGGGTGCCAGACTCAATATTTAACCAAAAATAAGTTGACTTCTATATTGAGTGGTTACCATAAGCAAGGGCACATATTCGCACTTACTGCTAATTAAAACAAAAATAAAAGAAAACAGAGTTATATTTACGAGTTGATTAAAAGCGCTTCCTCAACGCCCTTTTAGTGTAAGACCAGAACGGGTCCGTGTCCCGTTACATAGAAAAGTAAAATACTTGCATCCAATCATGCGGTCTAGAAGTTCTTCGATCAATGGCAAAGGATTTTTCCACGACTGACATGCTATTAACATAGCGGTAGTCAACTATTATTGAATGGGGATCTTCAAATTGCCGCTTCGGAGCCATTCGGCGCCTTCCGATTGCGAGATCTAAATTTCTTATCCTAGAGATATTTGAGACCCATATAGAGTTTGATACTTCTCTTCATACTTTTCGAATATTCTCTTTAACGAATTGCTGCAGGGCGTCCTGCTCAAGCTTCGAAAGACGAAAGGGAGCACGGGAGCTTGGCACTGCATCCGGCTTCACTTGCAACTCGGAAGCTAACTGATGGCATTGAGGGCATTTCATTCGGTGATTGCTCTATCAATACGTCCTTGTACTCGTCCAGAAGTGGATATAACTCCTGCGATAATTCCGATTGGTAGACGTTGGTAACCCTTAAATGATATATCTCATCATAGGCTGAACATTTACGCTTCATTTGGAAGGTCGGGCCCCACGTCTTCGAACTTCGTGTGAGATGCAACTCGAATTTGGTGCGTACGCCAATCTATCTGTAAGTTGTACTTGGTGAACCATTATTGGCCAAATATTGAGTCGTATGTATCCGGTAGGTACTAATGCCTGAACTGCATCCGTGGAGCTCCATACCTTCTATACGAATGGTATCTTCCATTCTCTTTGTGAGCTGACTTGATGTTCACGCTCCATTGAAACAACGCGCTTGTAGCTTCTACTCGCTTAGCACTTTTGATGCCAGACTGGGTTTGGTCAGGTTTGTTGACGCGCCAGAGGTGATCATTATCCTGACGGATTTGTCTTCAATGACACCATCACGCACTAGTAGTCGACTCTGCGCTGGCATATTTGATTAAAAGCTGCTTGCACTGAGCGAATAGGTTCTGCCTCACTTTCCGTCGGACCTCCACGGTATTGATCGTAACACGATCGTAAACAATTGATTCTTATTCTTCCTCTTCGTCCTAACGGCTGTTCACATTATCGAGATGCTGACGATCTACGAGCTGCTGATAGCTTCGGCCTGACGATTGTTTCCTCTATCATTACGTGTTTGGCGATGATTACACTGTGCGGAGCGGTGGATCGGACTACGGCGCTTTAAGCACAAATTTAGGCGACGACATTCGTCCCAAGACATTGCTAATGTCCATAGGCTCTGGACCATTGTTCAATCGATATCGACGACTGTTTTCGTACGACCTGTGCCTTGGTCTATCGTGCGAGATTCCTCGAGCAAGTCGCTGAGGCTGAGAGCGATCAAAGTCCAGCGGAACAGTAATCGCTTCGGACATCGTTTTACCGCGTACGACCTGTAAGTCCAGGTAGGAAGTACATGATCTGGTCTAGCTCGCTCATTTCTCGGACTTGAGTGACTACGAGGCATAGCCAGGGATATCGTCGCAACTGCGATCTCTCATATTGCTCATATCTTCATGCACTCCCGTTTGTCAAACACTACAACATGCATCTATAATTACAGTACACTTGACCATGTCAAGTTGCATATGTCGATGCTCTTACTCGGCGACCGTATCTCCTTGTCCAATATGTCAAGTTGTCGCAAAACAGTCTGACAGGTGAGGTGCGACCTCACCTGTCATGGGTTTTGCACTTGAGCCAAAAAACTTATCAGTGTGTCAGAAACAATATCTTTTAGCAAAAGCTGCATAACATGTCTCGTCGTCGCACCACTCGATTGCGCCATCGCTTTAATAGCGCTCATTTCTGTGTCCATGCTGGACCAACGTATAAGCAAGAGAGAGTCAGTTGGCTCGTTAAGCTTCATTAGAGTGAAGGCTTTTGCCACAGGAGTTTTCGTCGTCTCTCCAAGTTTTAATCAGCTTACTTTTTCTCGGTTTCGACAGCCGTAAGCACCTATCAAAGCCATTGAAACCGTAGCTTTTTCTCCACTTTCCCTTTCATTTTATTGGAAAGGCTAAGAGGGTATTTACCGTATACCAACCACGTGTCAAAGTGTAAGGTGCGTGGCTGTTTGGCATCACGCTGGTCGAGCTTGCCAAACTTAAAAGCGAGACCTGCAGGTGCTTTTTGATCCCCGAAGAGCCATCAGGTCACTTAAACCAAGTTTAACCACGTCAATCTTTCTCAAGTCCTTCAGAAATGTCAAACGCATCGCTGCACACTGCCCTCAACATTTATTATATTCGGGTCCTTTTGATAACCTAGGCTTCGAGCAGTCTTTCGAAGAGTACATCTATAAACGAAGCCCTCAAGTTAAGGCAACTAACCGAAAGCTGCGGAGAAGGACTATACAAATCATGGCAAAGAGCTACTTGCGATAAAGTATGTTCTAGTCAAATTCAGAGTTCATTTTCTTGGCTCTAAGCCGTATGTGATCTATATTGATCATGCGTCTTTACACACTACGACTCCGTCGCCTCAACTTCGTTCATCTCATCGCTGTCGCGCAGATTTCTCTGTGCAGGGACATGCTGATCAAGCGTTGATGAAGTCACGATTGTCGAATCCGATATTGTCGGCGATGCGTTTACAGCCGAACAGACAGTCTACAAACCGAGATTTTATATGGAATAATCGTATCAAGTCCCCAATAGGAGTCTCGGAAAGTAGCTCTACCATTCTGCATAGACCGAAATAGCGAAGATAAAGCCAACGCGAGTTCATCAATTTCGACATTCTTTCTAGGCTCGCTTACTAGACGAGAAATACCGCCATCATGCATGTCCATTCGTTTCTTTTCGGGGCTGCGATCGTTCTTGTTGCTTGACATGTCGCTCAGGATTGTTATCCGTAGTATCCTGTATGATGATCATTCCGTATTATTGATAATTGTCCCTGTATTTATCTAATAAGGAAATTAACAGTTAGCGAAGTTTTGACGCAAAAATGGACAAACTTTTTCTATCACTGCATTTTTGTTTTAAGGCAAATAGCTGGTTCAGCCGCTTTGTGACTATTAATGTGCCACTTTCGTTTCTTGTGCTCCTCAAGTAAGTGATATGCATTAAAGTCCAGATCTAAAGCACCAATCTGCCACTACCTTACGAAAACTAAATTCCATCGTCATCAGGACACGAAATGCCTCAAATGAAAAACGACGTATATGATATTCGTAATGACATCGTTGCTTCGAACCGTGTAAATTACAGCATGCTTGCTGACTATCGTATAACCCAGTAGGTTGACTCGTTACATCGTTCGCTCCCGACTCATAGTGTTCTCACCTGCTAGGCTATCTCTACTTAATCTTCGTTTTCTTCACGCATTACTCTTCTATGCCCAGAGTTCCTGGATATAACGTTGGTCATCCTGGAGCTTTTTGAGCGTCGCCTGCGCTTCGTCCTTGGACTGGCCGCCAAACTTCTCAATGATCTCGTGCAGCACCTTGTTGACATCGTTGCCCATGCTAGTGGCGCCACACACATAGATGTGTGCGTTATTATCGCAAATAAGCTCCCAGGTCGCCTGGCCATTCTGCACTAGCAAGTGTTGCACGTACAACTTCTCTTCCTGCTCGCGCGAGAACGCCAAGTGCAGCTCACTGAGCACGCCACTTTCCTGGAATCCATCTAACTCGTCCTTGTAAATAAAATCCTCATCGCGGCGTCGGCAACCAAAGTACATAATGGACTTGCCCACAGTCACACCATCTTCTTGCTGTCTAGCTCGCTCTTGCAGGAAGGCTCGCATGGGAGCAATACCCGTGCCCGGACCGATAAGAATGATAGGCGTGAGCGGATTCTTGGGCAGGCGGAAGGTTGAAGCACGGATGAAGATGCGAGCGGTGGGCCACTCGCGCGGCTTCTTAAAACCCTGATCACCTGGACGGCTGTCGCGCTTTTTCTTGTCATCCATGTGCGCCACGAGAGGCTGCAGTCTGTTCAAATAGTTCGAGCACACGCCCCGGAAGACACGACCGTCATTCTGCTTGCTTTCAATGAGGCTCACAGTAGCATGCACGCGCTGCGGGTTAACAAGACTAGAAGACGAGATGGTGTAGTACCGCGGCAGTAAGAACGGTACAATATGGAGCAGAGTCTGCACGGATACCTTCACCGAACGAAAGTGCACCAGGACGTCGACAAAAGAGCGCTTGTCTTCCAAAATCCACTTCTGATATTCCTCCTTGCCCTCTTTCGATGACAACCGCATCAAATGAGCTCGTTCCACCAAGTCCGACGCAAAGAACGCCAGCTGCTTTAGCGGGCCCTTGCGCGGTGCGCTGTTAATAGCCAGGTAGCGACTCAATATCTCGCCAATAGTGCACGGTGACGGGAACGGAAACTCGCAGTGCAGATCCTCATCCACAGGCTTAAGCGACACCCACTGCTCCAAGTCGCAGTCCATCCGTGTGGCCAGACGTTCCACCACACTCGTTTCATTCTCGGGTAGTACTGCTAGATTATCAGCCGTCTGATACGTCACTCCTATTCCACGCAGATCCAGCTCCACATGCACCGTCGAACCTCCTTCAGTCGACAGACGCAGTTCTCGATTTACCACGACTTTAGCGTCCTTAGCTGTAAAAAAGTGTTTGGTCGATGCCTTCATCTTGACCTCTTTGGTTTTATTTGCCAGTCTTTTCGCCTCGGACGCACGTATCTCCACCACCTGATACTCGTACTCTGGAGCCGATAACGTCTGTTCTTGTATCTCCTTTACTATCTCACTATTATTCTCAATCTCTTCAGTAGCAATAAACTGCTTCCTCAAAGCTTTCCACAGTGGCTCTTTCCAGTCATCAAAATCTTCATCTAAACTCGCGTCATCATCTCCTTCTCCATAATGAAACACTCGATGAGCACCATGTTTTTCCATCAAATTGTCGACAATTCTTCCCATCTCATTGTAATGTTCATACTGCGTATTCCCCAGTCCAAAGACCGTATAGCCTACCTGTTGAAATGCCTCATCTCCCAAAACGTTTTCTTTATCCTTTAGAAACTTGATAAAATCCACTGCATTATCCGTTGGATCACCTTCTCCATATGTAGCCATGACAAAAATCACAAGCTTCTCGTTCCTGAGCTTCTCGACAGCATTATAATCTTCTAAATCAATCGCATGCGTCTGGAAACCAGCTTTACGTCCTTCTTTTTTCAAAACTTCAGCAAAACCTTCAGCTGTTCCAGTCTGTGAACCAAAGAGAATAACTACACGTCCTCCTGGAAACTCAGGGCTCTCATCGACGCTGCGATGTCGCGTTTTCGTGACAAGACCGACGGGTTCAGTCGCCTCCTTGTACATCTTCATTTGTTGACCAATACGAAGCATTTCTTGAGCTAATTTGTCCTCTTTGGGCTTGGACTCACGTAGTAATAACACGGTAGTGGCCAGCACAGCGAGTACTGAACCTATGACCACATACGTGTCCGTCATTACGACCAGAGTTGGACTATGATTGGCTTGGAAAATTACGGAATGGCGTGGGCAAGAGGTACGAGCTGAAATGGGTCCGTTTTAGTGGACCCATTTCGAACAGAAAAAAGCAATCTAGGTCACTTACATATCAGGATTATATAAAGTCAATCTTACATTACTCTGATATATTATAATATTTCTGATTATCTCGTACGTTTGTGGAGCATGTCTTGTTTGGTTGGCAATACAATAACTGAACGATAGACACAAAAAAGTAGGTAGGTATCATACATTTTCATAATGGGTAAACAGAATCACTCCGTTTTTGTAATGGGCTGCTGCTGTCGGTGTGGTAAAGTGTAATAGGCGTTATTGTTCGAACAAATTCTATTGAGACCAGCTGCACCGAACCGTTGGTGTAGTTTTGAGATAGTGAGTGGTTTGGAGGAAGAATTGTAGCACCGGCACCTGATATGTTGACCGATTCGCATGAAGAGCACAGATTTGTATTAGAACCACAAAAGTCCCTTTACCAAGAATTTGAATACTATCTATTAGCAAAGACGACAATATGTCTGAAGTTACATCCTGTGCACACTGTCTTCTACATTAGCCTGGCAGCATCTCTTATACATTCATGTTTAACATGCATTTATAAGAGACACTGTCAGGCAAGAACGGTCCACCGAAAATCAATCCCTGGCTTTTAATAATTCCCAGTTCGACAAATGGCGGACGCAAAGGAGTGACGTAGCCGTCATTATCTGTCACCGTGCTTGCGCTCTTGGGTGCTTCTGTCTCGTCTCATCAATCTGAGCAAGCATTCCTTTAGCAAACATGGTGTTCATCTCTTGCTCCAACCTGTATACCAGTTATCGTCCTCATCGCTTCTGCAAAGCTTTTGGAATCTTGGTCGTTGAGGAATGCAAAATTTGCGTTGCGTAGTGGCTTTCTCCACTTCCTCTTCTTTATAATCTTCCATCCCTCGTGGCGATCGAAAAAAAGTCTGACTGGCAACGATCTATGACAATGCAGTTTATGATTCCTTAGCGTAGAGTGGAAGGACCTCTCTAAACAATCACTTTTGCTTTTCTCAATGGGCTAGCTTATATCATTTTATAATGACCAACGTAAGAGTTACGTGTGGGACAATTTATACTCTGTTTTCGCGCTTAATTTGAAATACTTGCTTACAAAATGGACCTGTATAGAGATATAAGACATTGCTATTTGAAAGCCTTGGCATTGTGAGGGCACTGCTTTGATACTAAAAGGTCTACAAGTTGCAAGATTAAAGTTCAATGCAGCTTCAACTAAAACTAGACGTTTAATACATCGACTTTGAGCATTCAATATCTTTTCAGAAGTAAAAAGCTATTGAAAAAACAAAACCTACACCTGAAATATCTCATGATCTGTCCAACAACATCACCCCCGTTTGAATCAAACCAAACTCAATTTCCAACCCGTGACTTGTAAGTCGTCCAGCAATTTTCTCCAGCTTGTTGTTCAGAGCATACTACGTCGCACGTTCGTATTGACTAGCTTGTTGAATAGCCTCGTCCAAACACTCGTTTGTAGTTCCTCTTACTGACCATCGTCGTTTCGTAGGCGGTTTTTCGGCGCTGGTGCTTTGCCGTCGTTTCGCTGGCGCTTTCTCGTCACCGGTGCTTCGCCTTCCTTCAATATTTGATGAAACGACCTCTCTATATATCCGGCACGTTTATTCCCGATTTCACTTTTAGCAGTACTGAACCAATTACGTAGAATGTCGCCGTCATAGTGCGTCATCAGCACTTGGAGTGCTAGCTTTGCTTTTGATATTGCTTTGTTGCCGTTTTTTACTTGCGTATTTCTCAGAATTTGCTTTCTTGACCATATACGAGGTCCACGTGTCCCACAGTGGGCTTTCAAACACAAGGATGCCTGCTTTTTTAAGCCCAAGACGCTTGAAAACATCGTCACCACTATACTCTTGCTTAAGCCAGACGTCCATCTGATGATTCGCTAGTAATGTTGCCGTTTCCTTCGCATCTTTGTTGTTTTGCGCCACAAGAAGCTGTTCTGCTAGCACTGGTTCAGTGTAAAGCTTCGATAACTCATCGAACAACGGCGGAATTGGGGATTGATTCGCCCTTAGGCGCGGATATTGTTTGATCCAGGTTTGGAGTAACGGACTCGCCAAAATTCGGTTACATCAACCTTGTTAGCGAGTAACAGGTTAAACACGTCCTTATCAGAATTTTCAGAAGTCCACTTCCGCAACAGAGCAATTTTCAAATCATCGATAATACTCTCCGTAGCTGGGTCGTTCTTTGCGGCCGCTAGCTTGCTGATCACACCATTCTCAGCTAGAAGGTTTGAAATCTTGGCAGCTTCTTGATTCTCTCCCAAACCCAATTGCCCCATAGGGATGGTCTCCCCGAACCCTTCAATACTTTCGGGCAGAGCCGGGAGGTTTAAATCAAAAGAATGCATTCTTTCTTCGTCACCGCCGTTAGTTTCCTCTGAGCGTGGCCTCAGTTGTCGTTTCTCTCGCGCGTTATGCTGCGAAGCGGCGATCATTTTTCCCATAGTCTGTGGACCCCATGTCAGCACAGCAACCATTGCTAGCACCACGTACCAGAGCAGGGACTTTAGCTTGTTAATCGTACAGACCAATCTCAATAAAAGGAATCTAAAAACTAAAGATCTGGAAGTGAATCACAAAGACACGACTCCAATAGCTCAGATTTTCTAAATCAGTATATGAGAAATCAGAGTATTCCTAAATTATAAATCTAAATTCTTAATTGATTTGGTATTCAAATAATTAATTGATCGTGCATACATAAGCGCGACCTTCGACGTCTCTTGGCACGTCATGGAGCGTGTCCACGTGTTTGTCCGTTTGCAAAATGAATCTTTATCATCTTCTACTATTGGCATTAGTCGTACAAGCGCCACTTCCGTCCGCTTAGAGCACAGTGAGATGTCTCCGGGTGTAGCCAATCTCACTTTTAAACAGGTTTTCGATGTAGATGACAGCAATTTTCACGTGTTTCAAACAAGTTTGACGGTTGCCGTAGACTCTGTATGGAATGGCAAAGCTGTTACATTGATAGCCACAGGTCCAAGGAGTTCAGACACGTCGTTTGCGTGTCATGGCGACCTGAAGAAGTCCATTAACAACCAAAAGGCGGAACCGGGTCTTATTATTCTGGCAATACGTCGACTATTTAGCAAATTAGAGGTGAATTTCAAGAAAAAAGAACAGTACAACGTGTTCTTGAGCTGCTGGGGCATCAGACGAAGCGAAACCAGCAAAAATGACATTCTTACGAACCTTTTAATGTCGGAGACAGGCGTCATCATGAAAATAGAAAAGAACATTGAGGAAGTTCTTGTAGAGAATGGGGTGATGGTGTCGACGTCTACTGAAGCAGAACATTTGTATTCAAGAGCATTGGAGAGAATAAAGGAGACAGAGAATCAGGACTTTCTGTTTGTGCTACATGTAGAGACTCTATTGCCAAGTGGAGAGACAAGACGAGGACGTCTTCTTGTTGCCAATATTCATGAAGGTTTTATTAATGAACGACACGGGGAAGAATTAACGTTGCAAAAAGAGGATGGACAGCAAAAGAGTTTGAAGACACAATTGTCGAAGAATGAAGTGTTGAGCACAGGTTTCAGATCGTTCATAGAACAATCAAGCTCGACATACCTACTTGTCGCCATTCCAACGCCAGCACAATATCAGCAGCAAGTAGGCGCAATTAGATAAGCTACTGACTTTGTATGCATTGTCTAATGGGATCTTTTGTCCATGTGCAATCTAGGCAATCCAGTCACTTCTGTACGCGTGCAACGCACAAGAAATCAAAAGCTTAAGTTCAAGAAACAGTTCGTCAGCGTTTGGTGAGAGAAGTCGTTCGTATCAGTTCTTCGATACTCAACCTCGATCATTACAGCAAACAGAGAATGAAAAAGCAGGTTTTTGTCGCAAGGAAAGTGCCGTATCTGGGGCTCTGTTCTATCAAGCTTTCCCACCAGACGGATCAACTGCTCCCATTGTCACCATGCCGTCTCCACCTACCTCACCACCGGTGTAAGTACGCGCACCTACGCACCTACCTATGCTACTCTGTAGAGTGCGTTTGAAGCAACTGTTATCGTTGTTTGGCTCGTTGCTCATTAGGTCTACCACGTCAAGCGATCCTACGCATGAGTTATCGTTCACGTACTCGTCACAACAAGAAGAAAATCTGACTGTGTCACCACGTTGCAGCCCAAGTACAAGCTGTGGAAGTGAAGATTTTGAAAAGGAGTCGGTTGTATCGATGCGACTGCGAAAGGCTTATAATCTCGCTAAAGCTGCCACGAGCTCACATCGGATAAGTGCTGCCTTTGATTCAATCTCATCGGACGGGGTAGTTTCTGATACCGCGGCGGATGAGTTACTGAAACATATCCCGCGTGACGCACGGCATCGCTTAACTTGGCAAGACAACTTTAGCCGAATTCGCGCACTTCAACTTGACCCCACCCGCGCTTTGGTGCACGACATCTTAATCAAAGACAAGTGTGTGGACCGAATTTCGCGACTGAGTCAAAACATGACCTGTCGAGTGGCGGAACTCGAGCAACAGCTACATGAAACTCTGACAGCGCAACACGCGGCTAGAACCCAGCTACGAAACTCCCATATAAAGTTTGATGACATTGGACGCGAGGTAGCTCGTTTGCAAGAGGAAGTTAAAGCACTGGAAACTAGACAACAGGTTTTGACTGATAATGGTGACGTTCAATCGTCAGAAATAGATCGAGCAATGCTACACATGTTGTCCGCACGCCTTGACGAGGCAATGATGCAGACCAAAGACGTAATTGCGTTTAAAGACGGCGTTATTCGCTCACTTGAGGAACGACTCCAGCTTGCAAGTAAGCGCGGGGCAGACGCGGTGACAATGCTAAAAGAAGAAAGGGGCCAATTCGAACGTGAAAAGGCTCAACTCGTCGTTCAGCTACAGCAGAGTAACGAAAAGAGTAAGGGCAGCACCGACGAGGTCTTGAGACTACAGGCTGAGAATGTGGCTATCCAGCAGCAAAAGGCACAATTGACGGTCAAATTGGAAACAGCTCGATTAAAGTGGACACAAGAAGCTTGCGATCGTGAAGAGCGAGCAGAGCAGAGATGTGCAGAGCAAGTTTCCCGAGCTGAACAGCAGCTAGGCCAAGCCACTGCCGCGATGCAACACCAAATGGCTGAATTTCGTGATGAGCTCGACGCGCGAATGACGAGGCAGCGGGTAGCTACACAGGTGGCGTGTAAAGCTGGTGAATTGAAGAAGGATCAGCTGGAACGTGAGTTGCAACGTATGAAATTAAAGTTGGCCAAGCAAAAAGTCAAGATGGAAAAGAAATCACGCGCGTTGGTGGCGACCGCTTGCAAGCAGTATGAACAGCCTGTGGCGCTTTTGGAACGTAAACTTAACGACCAATCGGCTCGCATTGATACCATGCTGGAGCGCGAGCAGGTCACATTGAGACGGGCCAGAAAAACTGAGAAAACTATTGAAGGATGGCAGATTGAAACACAGCAACTGCAGGAATCAATTACTGAGCTAGATCGGGAACGAAACGCTTTGAAAGGCCTCTGCAAAGAGCTCAAGACCGATAATGAGGCACTTAAAGGTGAGCTTGAGCGCCGATTACTCGAGATGGAACAATCAGTAGCTCAACAGATTATCACAGCTGAGACACGGATACATGAGGAGCGAGACGAGCAAGTGAAAAACATAGTGAAACAACACAACCTCGAGATAAGCCGATTAAGGGCTGCAACAAGGAAACAAGAAACATTGAAATCCAAGATGGTCCAACTGGTACATCAGCAATTATCGTCAACGGTGTCGTCGCAGATACCTTCAGCAGAAGATGATTTATTGTTTTCAAACAGCTGCGAGCAACGGAGTATTGAGGAACTTGACGCTGGAATCAGCGGCTCAAAAGAGCGGCTGTATAAGCGCGGAGGGCAACGAAGAAAAGCTGACAACTCCTCGCGATCGTCATCTTCTTCTCCACCTACCAAGAACGCTTTATCCTTACAGAGAGCGCTTGCACACAAGGAAGAGGAAGTTAGAGAGTTGTCGGCACGACAGAAACAACTCTTAACGGCATTAGCGACGGCCAATGAGCAAGAAACATTAGCCAAAAAGCAGATCCACGAAACCGAGGCAAAACGTCAACGTGAGCTGGTCCGGTACGAAGAGTTGCTTCAACAACTCAATTGCGTAAAACAGGAAAATTGGAACCTCAATCTTGCTCTCCATGTAACAGAAGCGGCAACATGCAGCAGTTAAGAAATCCAGCTTAACCATTTTGGTGTGTCTTTGCTTGTCGTGTAGTATTTTTATACTGCGCAAACATCTCAAAACAGTTTGCCTTCATCAAGGAGCATGACAAGATTATATAAGCCAAGTGGACCTTCATGTGCGACTCGATCGAAGACGTGAACTTACGATTATTTCGTGCAGCAAGGCGACCAACTGACTGACTAACTGGCTGACTCGTAATGACTGAAAATGTGACTGCCATCACAACAGTTGACTCGATTCTATACACGATGAAGAAATCCATACGAAGCTTTTGTAGCTGCGCTTGACGTCCATAGACATCCATTTTGCGATATCCGCTCTGTAAGACTCTATTCAACCGTGTGGATTACTTACCTTTCGTACGTTACAGCTCACTACTTTGCGCTGATCTGGTCAGGCGTTTTGCAACACAGTCGTTTATGCAAACTCCATGCGGCTTTCTGACAATCACGCGAGCAATACGCGGCATCACGGCATCTCGCACACCTTGACAACTTCTCACATGGTGTATGGCATTGATCACACGTCTTGCCCTTCATCTCCTTGAACCAGAACATAGTATCGTCCTCACTGGGATGTGTCACTCCCTTTGGATCATCTTCATCATGGCAGAAAACACTCTCACATGGAGCATAAAACTCCCATTTCTCGGTGTGGTGCATGAGGTTTTGGCCTATACATCCAAATCTGCTCATCAACGAGTCTAACTTCCACGTTTTCTCTTCCTTAAACTCGTTACTCAAATTTTCTGCACTCTTGGGCACAAACTCGACTGCAAAGTGTGCTACGGATCCGTAATTTGCCTCCCGAGCAATAGGAGCAAATTCCTGCGAGATGGCAAAATCACTAAGACTTCGCATATGTTCATCCTCTTCTGTCTTAGGAAGTGAGAGGAAATCTGCATCACCCATTAAAAAACAAAACATGGGCATCTCATTTGGTTCTCGATTTTTTGAATGCTCCACGACATTTTGAAAAGTTTTGTATTGACTCTCCCCGTCATTGCGTTGCTCTCCAGGAGGAGCCACATACACAAATACCAAATCTGCAGCCAATGGATCGTCCACTGTTTCGTATTCCATCAGGTCACAAGCTTCCAACAGTCTCTTTTGAAATTCTGGAAACCCATTAGACTCAATAAAGACCTTCAATCTTGATAAGAAAGTCACGTCCGAGTGTTTCCTATGATTATAAGTTGCAATCCATGTTGCGTAGAGGTACAAAAGACGACAACCAATGCCAGTAATGCGATGTTTTACGTTTAGAAATTCACCTTCTTTCCTATAGGGTTTTTAAAGACGTTATTGACATGGAAAGAACGATATTTTATTATACATACAAAAGAGACACGTACCAAGCATAATCATAGCGCATAAACATCTTGGAAGCTACAAGACGTTCACGCCATGGCTGCAAGGCAGAGACTGGAGCTAAAAGAAGAGGTCTTGGATCATCCATTATTGATTTTTGGAATGTTTATTTTAGAAAAAACGGATAGGTTTAGGTTATTTTTAGAGGGTTTTTTTAAGCAATACTGCATGTAGTGGACAGGTTCTTCGCGATTGTTCGAGAAGATTTTCGAAAGTGTTTCGAAGAGGGTGAAAAGATACTTGGTTTTCGTATGATGATGTCTCACGTGCTTTTAAACAAAACGAGACAAAAGAGCAGACCTTTCTGATTATGACATCTTTTATTATGCAATACCATCATACGAAGACGTCGCCCCTCCTTCCTCTTTTCCAGTCGTTTGTTTCATTCCTGTTTGTCATAATTGAATTTTAGCTACAAGTCTCACGGTTCCACTAAAATAGAATTCTAAATAATGAGAAGTTCTCAGAAAGGAGGTCTATGTACCTATGGCCTTAACAATCAAGCTGGGTATCTATTTGAACGCAATCAGGAAACGTTACGTCAACGTAATATTGGTCGTGCTCGAGGTATTACAGGAACGCCACTAAAAAGGACCCGTGACCGTGACAGTGATAGTGATGAAGACACACATCGGTATCCGAGGTCGCGTCCAGAGCGACGTGTGGTCCTGGACGGGCTAAAGCGGATGCGGGTCTCGTCACCTACTGAGTCCGAGTCACTTAATAGTGACGTGGACTTGGACATGACAGATGAAGAGGCCGTTACGCCTCGAACGACTTGGCGAGCAAACAAAGCTCTTGTCCCAGTAACAAGCAACAAGAAATCATTGCAATTTACAACACCAAGTGCAGCTCAGAACTGGAAGATGATGCATCAACAGGTGTCGGGCCAGTCGATGGATATTCCAAACGATGATTCATGTCGAGTTATGGTGGTTTTTAACCCGTCCAAGTCAATATCCTTGTCACCTCATCCACGAATTCAACTGGTCGAAGATAGGGAACTTGACACTGCCACATCGTCAGAAAGTGAGGACGACCGTAGTGTCCGATTTGAAGAATTATCGTCTGATAATGACGAGCCCGTGGACATGGACATTGACTGAAGATATCTCAAGTAACACTTACTTTGGAATCCGACCTCGGACCTGCTTATTTAGCGCCGGTCTTCAAAATTTGCAGTAATTCATCAAGGCTTTTTTTTATTTAGTAACTTTTACTTTATGAGCAGCAGCACCCACGCACGCAGCTCTAAAAAACACGATCGTATTCTAAAAAACCCAATTTTATCGTCACATTTGATTCTACAAAATTACAATCACCCATCCCTCTTAAAAGTAATACTTTCTAAAAAGACCTACAATTCCACGATCCAATCCGATACCTCGACTCGAGCTCAATGTCGCGCTTGTTGCTGCATTCTTTACGTTCCTCACATGCGGTAGCAGTTTGTGCTGTTGCTAGTAGTGTCACTTTTACCTTTCTACACCCCATTGTTCATTTAGAATCCGTCCCTTTTGACAAACCGACGTTTTCGGAACGCACCATAGGCAATTATGAAAATCGTTTACGCAAATTTAGTTCCCCCGAACGTGTATTTGAGTATTTTTCCAGTGTAGAAATTGAAAAGCAATATTTTATGACTCGGAACGACTTGGCACGGGCCGTGACACCCTATACGTATCGTCACGGTGCCCCTTTATCGTCCAAGAATCCAAAATTTAATTTTAAAGCAAGTGGTGACAAGAATTCAAAAGAGGTGGCGGAGGAATATCTGCGACGTGTGCAGAAGCTTCTGATCGACAAGGAAAATGTCACCCGGACACAGGTGGATGAGCTATTGGCATTCCGTGACGAACAGCATGTGGACTTTGAGACACATGTCAAGACATTGAGGGCGTTGCAGATTACCAACGTCGAGTTTGATCAGTTTATCGAGCTGCATGGAGGTCCATCACGTACCAAAACGTTCTTTGATTTGGTCGATGCAGACGGTGATGGACTCATCTCATACCCTGAGTACAGCTTTTTCTGCACGTTGCTTGCAAGTAAGTTGATCAAATCAAGGGATTGTGCCAATAGCGTGTGGTTTACTGACTAGTGTTACAATGTTGACTCGTTGTATCAGTCCCGGAGCGGCAGTTTGAGTTGGCATTTAAGATGTTTGACACGGACGAAAATGGACGACTGGACCATCACGAGTTTAAACAGGTTAAAAGGTGGTTGTAGTGATGGAGAGGGTGGTTCTAGAGGTTGTTGAGGTGTTTTTGTGCGTGTACAATTTGTAGATCATGAACTTGATGCGATTACGTACGCCTGCGGGGCGTCAAGACCGTTCACTGCATGACGAGGTGCCTATATTCAAACACCTGTTTGGCGAGCTCTCCACAAAGTCAATTTCTTACGACGAGTTCTGCGCGTTCCGCCGCGATCTGAAGCAAGAGATTATGCGCATTCAGATATCCTTTTCATCTCTTGTGCCTGTTACTGAAGTTTTTCTTTTCGATAAAAAGCGGTTGTGTTGTAGTTTTCCTTAACGTTTGTTTACTTCGAGCAGTATGATGTGGATGGTGACAGGACTCTTTCACCACGGGAGTTTGGCATGTTTTTAGTGTCACACGTTGACCAGGTTTGATGTTGGCGGTGTTTGATATGAAGGAGATAGGTACGGAAAGCTAACAGTTCGATGCGTCATTCTTGTTTGACTCTTACAGCGTCACATTGAAATGTGGGTTGAGCGTGTGGACAAGCTGCAAGAACTGAAGGTGCATTGACCATTATATGTGCACTACTAAGCTCAATCCAAGCTAATGTCTTTGTCTCCTATATGAAGGGCCACATTACGGAGCAAGAGTTTATGGATTTCAATGTTTTCCTCGAGCACCTGGATGAGCTGGAGGTAGCCATGGGTCTTGTAATGCAAGCGCATGGTGTAAACAAAGGTATGCAGTTTTGCAATCGAATTTGCGTGTTTGTAAAGCAAATTGACTGAATTTTGTATGCAGCGCAATTCCAGCGCGCTACGAAGGCAGCGGTTTGCGGAAGTACACACACCAAGCCAGTGACCCCTTTGCAAATCGACATCCTCTTTGCTCTGTTCGACCTAGACGGTAAGAAGCCCCCCCCAGTCATGGTTTTATCATTCTGTGCATTGTTAATCTAACTGTGGTGATGCTTACCTGGTGGTGTAAGGCGATGGACATCTATCCACAAAGGAGTTTATAGAGGTTATGCAGACACGCAAAGACAGCGGATTCAATGAGGTATGTCAAGTGGTGCTTGACAATTCTAAGTAGGTGTTACTGACACGGGACGATTGATGTTAGCCTCGCGACACGGGTGCCTTTAACTTTATCAAGCGCGTCAAGGAGTGCATTGCATGCGTCTTGTAAGTACAAAACTAGTCGTGGCGTCTTCTTTTGTTGCATCGGAACGACAATCCGAATACATGTATCAGCTCTTTGTCAATATCCGGAATACGAATCGAACGAAACTTGGATGTTTGCAGCTGCTTCTTGCTTGTCTTTCTTCCCATCAGTAGTGCGGACGATGGTGCTCAGGTTGCTCACCTCAAGCCATTGAAGTTTGCTGCAATGGTTCATGAAGTATGGTATGACAGCTGTAAATGATAAGTGGACACGAAGTCTAACAAACTCATAACAGTCCGCTAGGTTCTGGACTCAGCTGCAGTCGCCATTGCACTACCGATGACTTGAATATCCTTCAGGGTCGTCATCTCCATTTTCGTTTGCAAGAAGCTGTTCCGCTCGTGCAAATTCCCGTCTCGTAGATTTTCTAGAGCACATTAAGTTTCTTCGCGAGAGCTAAGGCTACATGTATATTTGTTGTGGAAGAACGATACAAAGACCATGAGATCATTTCGTTTGTGTTGATGCGAAGACCGTCAAGTATTTCGATCTTCTTGTTGCCGATGGAGGTGCCAGTTGTACGGCCAGGAAGCGTGCATCACTTGGTAGAACAGATCTCGGTCAGTTAAAAGCTGCAAGAATAAGAGATTACCTCCGCGCTGATAATAGTATGAGCTCGTAAATGGGAGGAGATTTTACACCGGAATGTGAATGCCCCATGACGTTAGTCGAATCTGTTGACGTTCAAAAGACTTGTGTCTGTTGGTTAGTAATATCACTTACTCATTCCCAATAACGTCGCTCATTCCGCCACTAAACATTATCTTGCTGCATACTCGTCGTAGTCCAATCGTCGCAGAAAGTATCATTCTTTTTTTGCTATAATCCGGCAAAGACCGCGCTTTCTTCGAACCAATGTACGTATCGAATGGTAAGTATTCCTGCTCTTGACCAAGCTGCATCTCGCCCAAAGCGGCGTGAAAGGACACGCTGTGTCGGCCTATAAGGCTTTAATAAAATGGTGTAGCAACAAAAAAGTCGTTGTTACGTCCAATATTACTGAAGTAAGCCATTCACATCCGTGACCATGACAATGTAGCCATTCTTATGATTTTATGTGTTGTCACGTGGTGAGCAAGACGCCTCTCTTTGCGTGGCAAGGGTACCACAAGATAACAGACTAAAGAATATTCACAAGGGCCTAAAAATTGCAGTAGAATTCAGTCAGCTCTATCGACAACATTACGGTGTCGTCCAATTGTCGTCGCTTCTTCAAGTACTGATACTTGTCCCACGGTCTCGGCTAGAGGTGGTACCCAGACTCAGACTCAGTGGGTAATTACCTATACCCAGACTCATGGGTTGGGTATGGGTAATTGGCCTCAATTAACCAACTTACCCATGGGTACCCATGGGTAAATGTACCAAATTTTTGGGACATACATCAGACACACCTGCTCGTATTGAATTCTAATTGTCTAATGTATTGGTGACTCATTACGCCTTTTTTAATAAAAGTCTACCGCACATATGATGCAAAGCAACTGGAGCCGGTGGCGCAGGCCATGCAAAGCAAACTCAAGAAATATATATCAAGCTGGCGTTTAAACAGGATGCAAACTTCTTTGCAACGGTGTTAGATCCAAGATGGAATATTTGCTGGTTCAAAAACCTCGACGAAGGGCCAAAGCAATTTTGGGCTCTTGGCCATAGCCCACAAGCAATTGAGTTGCTTTTTGTGGGTGGAGCATACAGTCATCAGAAGTCATAAGAAGAAATTCCGCCTCCGCCACCTGTCAACATTTGTAACGACAAGAGCGATGACGACATGGAGGCAGACCTCTTCGCATTTGCTGAAGGCAGAGTTCTACAGACCGCAGTGAGCAAAGTCGAGGAAAAAGCTCAAACTTATTTTGCTCTTTCGCCTGTTCACACACACTAATTGCCATTGGAGTGGTGAGCACTGCATCAGCTGCAATTCCCGACACTTGCAAGGATGACAAGATTTTATCTGGCCATCCCCGCGTCTTCAACTCCGTCTGAGAGAGGTTTCTCTCAAGGTAGAAAGACTTACAGGTAGAACAGAACTTTGCTTTCCCCTAAAAGCTTAGAGAGGCTTCTGTGCCTCAAGGATTGGATAAGGACACAGGGTCACGTTTTTTTGTCGGCAAGGGACTAATTTTCCTTTGTCAGCTCGCTTGAACTTCCCAGTGGGAGACGTAGAGTGTGGATACTTTTATTACCAATTTTCATAGTGCTTTTCTCCCTTTCATATTGTTTAATAGTCCGCATGTTTATTGCGCGGGTAACATGGGTAATTACCCGCGGGTATGGGTCCAAGTCGTGGGTAATGAAATCTGAATGAGTCTGAGTCGTGGGTAAACGCAATTACCCAACCCAGACTCATGGGTACTACCTCTAGTCTCGGCATTGGACTTCAACCAGCAAACTAAGACGAATGTTGCGCGAACGTTGCGCTGGCACCAGGTGTACATTGTTTTTTTTCGAGCTTTATTAGTTTAAAGAGGTAAAGCAGACAATATATTCGTTAAAATACTGCCTCTTTTTGTGTAAATCCCAACTTTAAGCGGTCCTTTCTACAGGCACGTTCCTCGTAGCATGAACACGTCCGACGAAAATCTTGTCCCTCTGGACTTCCTGAAGTTCATTGCACCCTCGACATACACTTCAACTCGGTGGCGCTACAGTTTTCGTTTCAGTATCTGGAACACCGGACAAATTTCATGAGATACGTAACTCCTACTCAACTATAAAAAACTGACTTTATAATTTACCGTAATTTAAGTCCAACAATATGTATCTTCATACAATACTCAAGCTAAGAAATTCTACCTACCCAACACTTTACATTTTATAAAATCATAAAGAATACTGCCACGTTCCCGCAATCTCTGCGACAGAATTTCCAAGCGAAACTCAGGCACAGAATTAAACCGAGAGTCCTTCTTGACCTTTTTATCATCTAAATGGGTGCAGTCTTATGTACATGTGGTGGTAGTCCGGAAGATCAAGGACTTAATGGTTTAAGTTATGACCATTTCAGCAGTTTGAAAGCAGGTCGGATGACTACTAATATGGGTAAATACCGTGCTATTCCACCGAAATATTACCATTTACAGCATATAGAACATAATTCACTCTTATTAAGCCGTGGAGAGACTTATGCGTTGTCTGATGATACGCATGAGGAAGGAGGTGATGATGTACATGGTGTTCGATACGGTACTGCACAAGCTTATGCGGACGCTTTTCGAGCAAAACTTCAAGAGCCACCACTGAGTCCACGAAGTAAATTTAATCTCTTGAGTTCACGGATGGTAACAGACAACAGTATGACACCAACTGAGAGTAGTGATACTTCGGGAAGTCACGAGGAAGAAAAAGTTGAAGGACGTGCTGGATTTGATCCATCTCTACAAACAAGAAAACAGTATCCTCAGGCCTGGAATTCATTCTCATGTCAAGATGATATCGGTGATAATGCAATGGATAACGATGAGGAGTCCGTAACTGAAGAAGATTGGAAACAACGAGCAAATCCACTTATTACTATTATTGTACCACCGGGACCCTGTGGCCTTGTCTTGCAAGTAGCCAATCGTGACGAGTCGGGGGCACCTATTGTGAACGGATTTGTTCGGAAATATAATGGCAGGAAGAGTACCATTGAGAACAGCAGTCTTGTGCAAAAAGGAAGTGTACTGTGTGCAATCAACGACATCGACGTGACACACATGCCGCTTAAAGAGGTGATCCGCACACTCAACTTGTCGTCGCATCTTGAACGTGTGTTTACTTTCCGTAACGGTTTCCAGCACCGTAACTCGATGTAATGTGGAACTCGATGGTCATGACGAAAGCAGTCAAGCCACGCCAGAAAAAACAACGACATTTTGCAGAAACCTTAAGGTCGTTTGCATGTAAGATTCAAAAAGGAGATTTGGAATCGAGAGAGACGAGTTGAAAGCCAATGTGAAGCTTTCGACGCTGAAGTGATGTCTTGGCGCCTTCAGTAAGTGTAAGTATTCTAAATGATAGCGCTTCGTGTAGATAGACCGCTTGCTTGCGGACAGTGCGCAACTTGATACATGTATAACACAACACTAAGTCGTCTTGGGGGTTTATTGCAAGACTGCGTTTATGGTCAACGAAATGCAGAAGCAATGACTACTTCTTGTCGTCCTTGGTATTGTCATCTTTAGTGTCGTCGTCCTCATTAGCGTCATCTTTAGTGTCGTCGTCCTTAGTGTTATCGTCTCTAATGTCGTCGTCCTTGGTGTTGTCGTCTTTAGTGTCGTCGTCCTGGTTAGTCGACGTCGTCTCTTCGCTGTTCTTCACCTCAGCCGTTGCCTTGGCAGCTGCCTCGGACGCCTTAGCCTTGTCTGCTTCATATTTGTCAGCGTCCTTCCAAGACTCTTCCACAAACTCGGTGTATGTCTTGTTACCGCCAAACGGACGGGGTCCCAGCACACGCACAATGTCCGAGTGGTTAATAGTCTCGTTCTGCAGCAGTTCCTCAGCCAACTCGTGTAGCTGCAACTGCTTTTCCTTCAGAAGTTGCTTTGTGCGCTCGTACGCGTTGTGGACAATCTTTTGCACCTCCTCGTCCATAACCTCGGAAGTCTTGTCACTGTAAAGCTTGTCCGGGAATGCACCCTCGTCCTTAGGGAAGGAGAGCTGTCCAACGCGATCGTTCATACCGTACAACTGCACCATTGAGTAGGCAATCTGAGTTACACGACGGAGGTCATCAGAAGCTCCAGTCGTGATACGGCCATCAAAATTCACATGCTCCGACGCGCGGCCACCCAATGCCATGCACATCATGTCAGTCAAGGCCTCACTGCTGTGCAAAGCAACCTCCTTCGGGAGATACTGCGCGTACCCGAGCGATCCTTTTCCTCGTGGGACGATGGTCACCTTCAACAACGGATCAGCATGCTCTAGGAACCAACCAGCCACAGCGTGACCAGCCTCGTGGTACGCCACCGTCTTCTTTTCCTCCGGCGACATGATGCGATTCGTCTCGAGCCCGCCGATTACACGATCAGTGGCTTGTTCAAAATCCTTAAACGAAATGCTTTTGCCATTTCGTCGCGCGGCCACAATTGCAGCCTCGTTGCAAATGTTGGCAATCTCAGCTCCAGCAAAGCCGGGGGTTAGTGCAGCCATTCGGCGAGCGAAGTCATCCACAGCGCCATCCAGCGTCAGCCCCTTGAGGTGCACCTTGAAGATTTCACGACGACCCTTAATATCGGGGACATCCACAGTAATTTGTCTGTCGAAACGACCTGGGCGCAAGATAGCCTTGTCAAGAATATCAGCGCGGTTCGTACCAGCAAGCACCACCACACCTTCGCTCGAATTGAAACCATCCATTTCAACTAGCAGCTGGTTAAGCGTGTTTTCGCGCTCGTCATTGCCGCCCGAGAAGTTACCCTTGCTTCGTGCACGCGCCACTGCATCGATTTCATCGATGAACACGATGCACGGAGCGTTCGCACGAGCCTCCTTAAACAGATCACGCACGCGTGACGGACCCACGCCTACGAACATCTCGATGAAATCCGACCCCGAGATGCTAAAGAATGGCACACTAGCTTCACCAGCTGTGGCCTTTGCCAACAGCGTCTTACCCGTACCAGGCGGACCAACAAGCAGCGCCCCCTTAGGAATCTTGGCACCAAGATCCATGAAACGCTTCTGGTTGCGAAGGAAGTCCACAAACTCCATGATCTCCTTCTTGGCCTCGTCCACACCGGCCACATCCTTAAACGAAATCTTTATGTCCTCCTTGACGATCTTTTTGGCTGGACTCTTGCCAACCTTGAAGATGTTGCCAAGGCCGCCGCCGCCACCAGCCCCACCTCCCACACCACGCATGGTCATAAGCAGGAAACCGATCAGCAAAATAGTCGGCAGGAACTTCATCACTTCTGCTGCAAAGCTAATCTCGCTAGTATACTGTACCGGAATGTAATCATGAGGACGAATGCCCATCTGGTGCTGTGCGTGTTCAATCTGTCGCTCAAAACCCTCCACACTGCCGATGTTAAAATAATACACAGGATTGAAGTTCGAATGACTTGAAGCACCACGTGATCCCTTTCCAGGTAACGTTGCTCCACGACTGCCATCAGATTGACGATCCGGCTCTGATGCAAAGTCGTACTCATGCGGACCCTTCGCATTGGGGTCCTGCCAGTCTGAAAAGTCATTGCTAGTACCCGACACCGAGCCTGATGCTAACGACGATGATTTACTGACTGTATCGTTCAGAAACACCTTGACATACTTGTTATTCACCACCACGAGCTTTTCTACGCGTCCAGATTCCAAGAAAGAGTTCCGAAACTCCTGGTATGTAATTTCTTGCATGGGCTTGTCAAAAGAAGCCAATTCGGCCAAGAACATTCCCGCCACAGCAAGTGGAAGAAGGTACATGCCATCTTTGCCGCTTGGACCACCACTGCCTCCCGAAGAGCCTTTGCTTCCTTTAGTCTTTCCCTCTGCAGTCTTGGAGCTTAGTTTCTTGACACCTCCCGCTTCTTTTTCGCCTGTTTTCGGTGCATTCTTCGGTGGTCCACCAACTTTACCACCAGTACCTCCAGTCTTTGGATAGAATCGTCCAAAACCCTTTGGAATATTCTCCTGCAACCACGTTGCCCAGCTCAATGTCTTCTCTGCACTTGTATTCTTTACTACTAGATCAATATAAGAATAAATGTCATTGGCAGCACGTCATCGAAGAGCACAAAAATCCGATCAAAAAAAGGTCCTTCACGTACAAAATGAGCGCGAACGCGTTGACTGCAACACTTGACGCATCCTCAGTGGATTTTGATGTACAGTACGTAACATACCACGCATTCCATTGCGTTGCAATGAGTTTCCCAATTGCTACAACACAAAAGAGGATAAAAATGATCATTGATTGTATACAGAAGATCAAGAGGTTTTGCATGTACCTGCTGCAGGAAATGCAAATGCCGAGATTGATAAAGGTCGTGTAATATGGGGGCAGCCTGACGCCGCAAGCGCTGGGTCGATGTCGTCGCCAGCATCATATTTTGCTTAGGAATCCCCTTTGTATCTAATAAACTCCGTCAGCCGTACAATTGAGACTTTCGTTTGACATAGTTGTTGTCTGAATATGATATGTTAGAGGATATTAGATGTGCGATTCTATTGTATATGGGTTTAGTATGAGCAAGGGTTAGTAAGAAAATTTAATACAGATGACATCGTTGACTCCTCTGGCGTGTTGTTTGAAGACAATAACCATCATTCCCTTCGTGTCTACCGCACCACTTCTTTGCAGGCGTACTCTTGCTGCGACCTTCGTACTACATGATCAAGTGACTGGAGGAGAGTGATCAGCATCGCCCCGTGCATCTTGGCAGATCTGACGGTATTCGTTCATTTCGCCCCAAAGAAGCAGAACTAACTTAAGACAATGGCTGACGCAGCACCTGCACCCACTGGAGAACGTGGAGGATTTGGCCGTGGCCGTGGTGGCCGTGGAGGTCGTGGAGGTCGTGGCCGTGGACGTGGTCGTGGTCGCGAGGAATCCAAGGAATGGGTCCCTGTCACCAAGCTTGGCCGTCTGGTAAAGGAGGGCAAGATTGGCTCGCTTGAGGAGATTTACCTTTTTTCACTGCCTATTAAGGAGTGTGAGATTGTCAACTACTTTTTGGAATCGTCACTAAAGGATGAGGTCATGAAGATTATGCCTGTGCAAAAGCAAACCACGGCTGGTCAACGTACTCGCTTCAAAGCTTTCGTGGCTGTCGGTGACAGCAACGGTCACATTGGCCTTGGTGTCAAGTGTGCCAAGGAGGTTGCTACGGCAATTCGTGGTGCCATTATCCTGGCCAAGATCTCGCTCGTGCCCGTGCGTCGCGGCTACTGGGGTCGTATGGTCGGTGCCCCGCACACGGTGCCCAACAAGGTGACGGGCAAGTGCGGCTCCGTTCGTGTTCGTCTTATCCCGGCTCCTCGTGGTACCGGCCTTTGTGCCGCTCCTGTGCCCAAGAAGCTTCTGGGTATGGCGGGTATTGAGGATTGCTACACTTCGGCCCGTGGTCACACGCGCACCATGGGAAACTTTGTGAAGGCGACCTTTTACGCCCTGCGTGCCACGTACGCTTACCTGACCCCGGACCTCTGGGAGCAGCAGACGTTTGGCCCTTCGCCGTACCAGGAGCACACGGATTTCCTGGCTAAGACCGCTATCAAGAAGTAAGCGCGCAAGTGCCTATCGACTTGGAAGTCTGATCGACAGTGAATTCTGTTCTGAGCAAGCAATGGACGATTGATGAGCGCAACTTGCTTTAATGAGGGAGGAAAGCGTGGATCTGAAGCGCTACGGTGCGGAGGTGTCGACCTCTTTCATTTGTAGTGATAGTAATTCGGGGAGAGCGTCGGGGCGACGCTACGGTGCGTAGGTGTCGACCCTGAACGAAATCAATACAAAGAAAGCAATTGCGTCTTCTACTCTATCGTTGTGTTCTTACTGCATTTTGAGAATAAGACCTTGATCACATCCTCCTCACAGTAATACCATATCTCGATAATGATGTTCTCATTAGTATAGTACCTCTGCTTGACCCAACAAGCAAAATTCGAGCTTACGAACAAGCGCAATTTCTATAGACCTTCAATGTCAGCGCCACATGTGCGTATTGTAACGCCGCATTTACTTGTCCTTCTTGGTCTCGTCTTCTGCCTTACCCGACACGTGATGGTCCTTGATAATGCCCACGCTTTCCTCTAACAAGAACGACACGACTGGCGTGATGGTCTCCAGCTTCTTCTGAAGTACAATAGCAAGGTCCACCACACGCTCTTTTAGCGCGTGCACCTTTTTGTCATTCACGGGCGTCATCTCCTCGGCACTTTTGAGCTGATCACGCACTGCCTTAAGCTCAGCACCGGCAACCAGGACAACTTCAAATGCAAAGAGCTCGTTCAGGAAATCCCTGCAATAACAGATTATTCGACATAGAGATTAAGTCGCGGCCTTATAAAAAATAGAGCGCAAAAGACACGTACATTCTAACCGTGAAGTAACATTAAGGTTGCATACAAAAACATCATACAAAAGGACAAAGTTAGTGTCGCACGAAGCTGTCCCTTCCGTGATTATCTTACCCAAGCGTTGGCTGCTGTACTACTGATCTTTCAGCTGCTGCCACCCACTTGCGATAAAGGAAAACTACGACAGGAAACATTAGCAATAGGCCGTGCCATAGTCCTTTCCAGTACGCTGACGAGTCTTCGTGACACAACTCCATAAATGATTTGCTAAAATTGACAAAATTTGAAATATCGGAAAAATGACAAAACCAGTAGAAGGACAGATGTAAATATCACGATACTATTTGACAGTAGAAAAATATGAAAAAGCAGCCCAGCAGCTTTTTTTCAAATATTCAACGATTTTGTTAGAAGAGCTGTAGATTTAGAGCTGAAATCCGTTTGACAAAAATCCGTGCTCCGTGCAAAATGCTTGGGAAGCGGCTTAAAGGCTATTGAAGCGCCTGCAAAGCTTAATCTACTAGTCTGCGCATCACATGCGTCATGACAATCAAACTAAGTTTCTTTATGCTTCTATCCTGGCGTCGCCAAACCTGAATCGTCCGATTAGTGTCGTCTCAACCCCATAACTTTTGCCATTGGCAGTGCTGCAATAGAGATAACTTTGGAAATCACAACGCATGATCGCGTATGCGTCTTGCCAGCCAGTTAAAAGAGTAACTTGCGAAGAGTTATGTATGATCTCGTCAAGTTCCGAGTCCATCTGCTTGGCTTTAGGCTCTTCATGCTCGACACAACGGATAAGTCACCTGCACTGATATTTGGTTACCTCGCTTTCATAATGGAAGGCCAGGTGACTGTTCTTCTTCGTGAATTGCAACTTTGAAGTGAAGTACAAGCCTTTGCAGGCATAATAATTACCAGATGCGTTGCCACACAGGTCTGAATATGAGCTCAGCTCCTGTCGCCACTCAGACCTCGTCTGCCACGACTTTTTTCCTATAGTGACGCCGGATGGATAGCATTGTAAGGAGTTTACAACTCGAACAAACATTTCTCTGCACCGCGCACGAGTTTACATCGATGAACGGCCTAGCAGGTATCCATGCACGAAGATTCTCACGACGATGATTTGAAGTATCGTTTCCTTGATAAGCTTTCTTGGTCATGACAACAACCTGTAGCTAAAAAAGTATCTACGGGAGTGTTCAGTTTCGATTTCTCGTCCATTCGTTGTATCGAGCACTGATTTTCTAGTCCACCCATTGAAATTGGTAGCTTCTATTTGGCATCGCTGCCTTCTCTCTGCGGACGCTTTTGTCTTTGTAGACGCCCTCATCATTCACTTCAGTTGTTGCCTCCTTTTGACAGAGTTGCATGTCCATATTGATATTCACATTCTTAGAACCTCGCCCTTGATGAATTGGCATTCGATCGAAAGCGCTCGTTTTAAAAACTCAGTGAAAGTGTCAATCCGATGAAACCCACAAGTCTGATGACATTATCTATGCTTGGACCATCGTCTTACGCCTATAGAAGTTTGTCATTTTTTCGCGATCAGCCTGAATTCTGGTCCGAAGCGAAGCTTTGGCTTGACGACACTTGGGTTTATTTGCGCAGAAGGCATCACCGTCGTAAATACCGATATGTCCACAGAAGTTGCATCGGAGGACACGTTCTTGCTGTCCGTAGCGCGATATTTGGCTGCCTAGATTCCAGCATAGCTGATCTCTGAGATCATGTCAAATACTATGAAAATGACACTGAAATAATTGGCTTACAAGGAGTTATTGTGAAATTCACGATAACAATTGGCGACTAAAAAAAGTGGCTACAAACCAGGCCCTTTTTTCTTAAAAAGTCCTCGGCCAGTCCATTGGCCTCCTCCACCCACCCACACAAACAAACAAGAAACATCCTCTCCCCTCCTTTCAATACTATTCCCAAAAAAATAATAATATGGTGCAGGTGTCCAAGCCTTTAGTAATTGCTGGTGTCTCTACCGTGGCTGCGATTGCCTTTGTGATTGTAGCACTTACTCGCAACAAAAGCTCTAATGTACGTGGAATTACTCATTTCTTACAGTCAAAATTGTTGACATTCTGGTCATTTTGGTCGTCAATTGATCTTTTATGGTGTTTTTATCCCTTATTTAGGACTCAAAAAAGACGACGAAACAGGACGAGAGCGTCCAGGAAGTGCCCAATTTGCATAAGGAACAGCTGCTTAGTATTCTCGAGACCATTTGTACGCAAATGGGACAAGTTGTGGTACGTTCGTTATACTGAACATCTCTTGACGACAAGAAGATGCTAAACTTTTATCCTTGGGTTTTGTGCCTTTAGATGCAATTGGCCAAACTGGAGGCCAAGATTCGTCAAGAATCTTCGCAAAGCGGGCGGTCGTTGCCCGAGGATCAGCTGGCTTCGTACCTTATGGGCCAGTTCGAGGAAGCCATGAAGGCTATAGAGTCACAGGTGTATGCCAAGTTTCAGACCACGGAAGAAGAGGTCAAGATAGCCACCGAGTACTTTGAAGAAGATGATGACAAGGACGTGGCCAATGCGGTGGCCAAGCTGCAGGAGCTCTACCGTGTTATGACGGGAGGCGGTTTCAGTGATGTGGAGGTCCCCGCTGAGCTTACGCTTACCAAGTTTATTGAGATCATGCAAGAGACCATGGAGTCGCTCAACGTGGCCATGGAGGAAGTCTGCCTTGAGGTCAAGGAACTCAATCCAGATAACAAGGAAGAGGCCATTAACCAGAGATATGTCAAGCGTGCAGACAATCTGTCGGCTGAGATTCATGCCAAGCACGGACTCACGCGTGAGGTGCTCCAGGCTGCTATGATGAAGTACCAGCAGGAGCCAGCCTTCCTGATGGCGATGACGGAGCTGCAGCAGCAGCAGGCGGAGCGTTTTGCGGCGGCTGCGGCCATCTTTAACGGAGAGGTGAACATGGGTTTGACCGAATAAGCACATACCAACAATATCTACTAGAAGAATGGAACCCGAGCACACAGCCTCCGTCCAGTTCAACCGTCAACGTCTCTAGCCAATTCTCTTTTTCACTACCCGCCCCTAAGAATTCCCGCCCCACCATTTCAGCGCCCGTTTGAAGCTACTAGACCCACGCGTCCTTGTCCCAGTTATTATCACTTACTAGGAGCGAGGTAGGGGATTAGAGAGGAAACTTGCGACCCCGTTGTGAATGCACCTTTTTGATTGTCTGCGTCGGCTACATATTGGATGGAATGAGTTGTGTCCGGTTAAGCTGTCTTCGTGTTGTGCATCTTTCAATGGGACATTGGTAGTCATTTTTTGCTTGTAGATCCGAGATCACTGCAACGTCGCGGTATCGTAAGTCGTGCCTTCTGGTGGTGTCATTTTCGTAAGTACCCGTAGAAATTTGCAAACGCAGCACACCTTCTTGTTCTCCTACGCATCCAAGTCAACTATCCTACAGTCAACGGTGAGCACTTGCCATTGTGCAAGACAAATGAGCAGTTTGGGTATAGCATTCCGAAACACAACAATTGCAGGCTGCCGTTTCTCATGTTGTGCTGGACTTGTCTACGTTTTGACGGCATCACAATTTGTCGACATTTTTACGTTTCTTACTATACGCATCTCCAAGTGTTGCCGAGAGTGACGTCAGGAAGTACTCGTTAAAGAAAGCTGAGTAAATCTCTTGCCCTGCAACAGCTCTTCATCGATATGTGTAGACAGGACGAGCCAAAACAATGCACTTAATTTATTAGCAATTGAATGCAACTGAACATGCCATAGCAACAAGCCTCTCTCCCTCCTCCTCCTTCACTATGCAGGCAATTCGATGCGCAAACACACGAAGAACTAAGACACGATACTGTACCCCCTAAGACATCACAAGCGAGCAGCAAACGACAGGCGGGTTCCTTGTGATTATACTCTATTCATGTCTTCGGTCCGCATTGGGGTAGCGGAATTAGGCTGGGACGGCGTGACGGAGCTCTCCGCACCCGATAATCGAAGCATTGCCATAAGTTGAGAATGGTTGAGAGTGCTATTTCGCGCGGCAAGAGCCACACTACCGCAAACCATTTGGTTAGCCGGACCGCGCCCGTTCCCCTCTCCTTCCAATTCTCCATTTTCCTCGTCAATATCCTCGAACACAAAAATACTATCGTCCCATGATAGGCTAAAGTCGAACTCCGTCTCACGGATCGAGTTATTGGGTTGCTCGCCACCATGACTAAGCCGAATCAACTCCGTCGGAACATCCGGCACGAACGTCTTCGCTTGATTGACAAGCGCAGCGTCTTCAATCTTTTTGCCCTTCGGAACGTGACCACGTACAAGAGTCGCAAGCTCCACGCTCAACTTTGGAGATTGCGCGTCAATGGGAATCGCTTCAATGAGGCCAATCGGTTTCGAGATACCCTTGAAATTATAGTATCCGTGAAACTTGAACTGTAAAATTGAAGAGCCGGGTATGTCCTTGATCTTATCGGATTTCTTGATAATCTTCTGGCTAGAGCATATAGCTTGAGCATCACAAAAAGCAGTCCACGCATCACCACCAATTAACACCTGGCCGCCATGCGCTGCCTTGGCGATACGTGCTGTCTGATTCACAATGTTGCCAAAGTAATCGGCGCGCCCGCTTGTTTTGTGCGGGCTTACACTAGCCGGAACACCAGTTTCAATGCCTATCGACATCGAAAACCGCAACTCCTGATTCTCGTTCTCTAGATCCCACTCGCAAAACTTTTGCCGAATACGTATTTGGAATTCGCCGCACCACAATATGGCACTCGCAGGCGTAAAGAATGCCAGCATGAAATCTCCCTGTAACTCCTGGCACTCGTAGCCATTGTGTTTTCTCAGTAACTCACGAGCAACCATACACAATGTTTTGATCCGATCAGCAAGCTCTTCTGCGTGACAACGAACCAGCGGTCGAGCACCTTCAATGAACGTGAACACCATAGTCACTGGCTTCTGTGCTGCCGGTGCATCTCGCATACCAAGGGATAGCTGTTGTGGGCTCTTCAAGGTCGGAAAGCGTCGTAATTCCAGATCCCGCGGCAGTAAGAGCATAAGCAGCACTTCGTCGCCCAAAACAGCGTGGCAACCCAAGTCCTCCACCACAGGGTTGCCCAGCTGGACAAGTTGCTCCTTTAATCGATCCCACACACTGTCACTTAAGACGATTTGACCTCCATGTGCATACTCGCTAACAGTCTTTGTCCATTTAACAGCTTCACACAGCGAAAGCTCCGGAGTTATATCAGGATCTGCCGTGTGAATGACCATCCGAACACGGAAGCCTCGGTAAAGCAACATGTTCTTCTTCGTTTTCCCATTTGTCGTCACGGATACTTCCTTCATATCGTCAAACTGCTTCAGCAACTTATCGTTCCATGCAGCGTACACAAGACTGAGCTGTAGCGACAAACACCATTTGGCAGCGTGAAATTCCGAGGCAAAAGCAATCACAAATAGCCCTGATCTCGAATGGCTCAAAATCTCTTGTCCTCCATATTCCGACGCTAATCGAGACAGTACCGTGTGTTCATACAAGAGCTTCGCGTCCTCCATCAAATCCTTGGCCTGACTAATCATCTCTCGGAATCCCTGCACCGACACCTGCACTATCACCACCTTTTCCCACCTCACGGGAGTAAGGTCTCCCAAGTCTGTTTTAACTTTCATCACCGAGCTCTTCTTTCCAATCATTGTACCGTTCAAACCTGCTTCCGAATACTCCGATCCCGACAAATCTCTGCTATGTGTGCTGCTGCCTCCACTTTCTGCTTCCATTCTTGTAAGACGAAGCAACGTCGGGTTTTCTCTCTCTTGGCTTTGAGTCTGTGAACTTCCCTGTGACGTCATGGAACGAACTCCATCCTGTGGTGCTGAGATCTCGGCTGATATCCTCTGTTCTTTCTGGCATGTAGCACTTGTATAGTCCTGGCAATTGCCACCATCCTGATTCGTGCCACATTCTGGCTTTCTCACACTCATTTTAACGAGTGGTTTGCTTTGATTTGTGGTCATAGTAGACTGAAGACTCAGTTCACAGTCGAGACTGTGACGGAGTGGGCAATTGACATTCACGTGACGCAGTGAGTCACTCGACGTAGCCGAGTCCTTGTCGACTCCTCTTGGAGACTGCGTACGTACCCAAGGGCCACCCGTCTCGCCACCTCTCCGTGCCTCATCATCCAATGCGTCGTCCTGATGCACATGCTGCAAATATGGCGCCAATTCCCGTACAATGTCGTTCCGGGGCAGACACTTTTCCAACACACGCATGCAGCACCACCAGCACATGGCGTTGAAATAGTTTTTTAACCTCTAAACAAGTAGTATACAAGAAAAAGTATTCAAAAGCTGTCGAACTGATACAAAGCTGCTGTGTGTGTGGTTTTGAGAGTCGGAGAGACTGTGCGCCTTTCCCCTTTGTTTACGGGAAAGGTGCTTTGCTACGAAAAAGAAAAAGAATTGGAAGGCTAAACGTTCAGTGCTTTTTTGCGACTCGTTTTGTATTCTTTAGGTCGAATAAACTTGTCCTTTGTTCCAGCTGCTCGTTGTCTTATTAAGCTCTGGCCTTCCTTTGGTCTTCGTTTGGTGCTACATACATTCTGGCTGGTGGGCATACAATACGGTTGTCCTGTCGTTGTAGGGATGTGAACCCAGAAACGGGCCGGAAAACGACTCGCTAACTTTACCCATTAAAAGTTGCATACCCCTTGCATAATTGATATTCTACTGGAGCAACGTTTGCCACTGCGGTTGACTTTCAAGACACCTACGTGTGCATAAAATAGACAACCTTAGAGATGAGGGAGGTGACACGTACTTGAAGACAAACGGATGGTACGAACCAACGTCTTCTTCCGCCTTTAATTACTCATTAGAGATCCAGGCTTTCTCGAAAGACTATCATTTTGTAGCATTTGAGTAGGGACGTTGGGTACTATTTACGTGCACCCTTGTCGCTCCAGGCCTACTTTACACTCCCCGGAAGGCAGGAGGAATTGGCCTAGTGTCCGTCCCAGTTGCTATTAAAACACAGCGAGTGAAACACGCGCTTCTGGCACTTACTCGGCCGGAGGATATGTATCTCACAGCGTGGGTGTCCTGGAACACGCATGGTGCACGTAACACGAGCATCAGCCCGCATCGACCGAGCGTAAAACACATCGTATCGCCGTCGTTCGAGCGTTATCCCGATGTGATCCATGAACTCGGCTGCACATTACGTCCAGACATCGCGCAAACGGCGGTAATCCTAGCACGAGTACAAGAACATCTACCGAACCTTCGGTCATCATCGACCAGTTGGTGGGAGGAAAATGACTGGATTTTGCACCTCTCCGAGCCCCTTCCATGGCGGCCTCAAGGGGATGAGATTTGGCCTCAGGAGATAAACGATTTTTGGCAGACTTTTCAGTGGAGTGGTAATCCTTGGATTCTCTCACCGCAGGCGCTCGAGCTGTCCCGATCCAAATATAACAGAATTCGTGATGTATCCCTCGAACAACTCCACATCCAGCGGACAGGCCCCCAAGATATACGTCTTCAGCGGCATTGGCACGGATGTCCATAGACCCCCGCCATTCGCATGCGAAACTTCGAGAATGGGCGATCATAATTTTACTTTCGTCGCCGCCACTAGACGTGGGAAATCCGGTAGGGTGCCCAAGCCCATTGCGGCTAAGGCAACAGCTACCATTCACGCAAGCCATCTCATGGGTGCTGATCGGGCCAGGCAAGGTTCGAGGCGTTTCACTCTCTGATGAATCTGATCGCCCTCAGAGTTGGGAGCTCACTCAATGCCACGATGGCATAACTTGGGTTTTCGACGGCGCTCCGCCGCTAGTAAAAGGGAAATCGCAGGAGCTCACCCAACAAGCGGAGAGCAAGCTCAGCCGACATGGGGTTGTCTTTTTTCCAACCCACAGATCCACCACTATCCGTGGTCCGCACCGCCTACGGTCCCCAACCATCGACTATTCACTTTTTTGAAAAAATAAGCTTTTCAGGCGACAAAGCGCGGTCTCGCAGCACCGCTGAAGCAGGTCATCGATCGGCTAGCCACAAAGAGCCAGAATACGCGGTGGCAATGCACAGCTTTAAATGTCACGCCGGCTCAGCTATGGGATCACGGCCATGCGGTAACGGAATACCAGTTATGGACACGATATCGACACGCTACCGGACAGCTAAACTTTTGGTACCAAAACCGACCCCCGGACGGATCATGCACATATTTGGAATGTGTAGGCCAAAGGAAACCCAGGAGCATCTCTTTTGGGGATGTCCCCGCGCTCAGGCAATCTGGGCCCGGCTTATCAGTCATTGGGAGAGTACACCTCACCATCCTACCCACCTCCTGGATTGGCTCGAACACTGCGCAAACTGTAGCGTACCACGCATCTCGCCGCAGGTCACAGCAAAGCTGTTAGCCCGGTACCCGGAAGACATTGATCTATTCGCCACAGCCTGGAGGACGATTTGGGAAGTCGCAGTGACCGTCATTATCACAATGCTCTGGCAACTTCGCGTGGTTAGGATTTTTAACAATGCGCTAATTCCGATACAAGCCAGTGAAACTTTGATCTGGAATAGGATTCAGCTCCAACTGAGGGCGCTCATCAAACGTCTCCATTGCAGAGCGGCCACAGCCGTCCGTGGAGCCCAACTATCTGCATGTTACGACATATTTATATCAGAACCGAGAGGGCAGTCCGGCGTTCATAGACGTGCTGCCAGCCGTAGGCAATTCCTGGACCCTCCAGCGTTGCTAGTGTGGTTAACTACCTACCAGAGATCTTGCACTAATCAGTAAATAGACAATCTGTTCTCTCTACTATTTACGTGCACCCCTGCGGCCGTGCACGACGCGCCACAAAAGCAGCGTGACGACGATATCGTACACGACGTGGTCCCAATTTCACACCTACATTGATTCCACCGAAGGGTTGCTGTTACTGTTATCCACGTTTTATAGTAGGAAAAACCACATCTCTACAGTAGCGAATAGGATGGTAATCGAAAGTGGCTCATATCAGCAAGCGATGCAGTGGATTACTATTGAAGTCGACTTGCTGACTTCTGCCCGTAAACCGACGTACAGGTTATGCATACCGAAAAATAATCAATTTAGTGAGCTGAATCGCCTTTTCGCAGATGTTGATGGACAAGGAAGGGCACTGAACAAAGATTTTCATTATTTTTCGTTGTCTTACGCCGAGCTGGCGACCATCATGAGCACCATGATGTACATTTGGACCTTTTCCTTAATCATGAGCATTAATGCGGACGAGAGCGCTCCCTACAATAGGTTTAGAGCAGCAAAGTAAGCAAATTAGCATCTACTCTAGCGTAAAAGTAATCAACCAACAACTGCAAACGCACCCTCGTGAGCTCCGGTCCGAGACCGCGGTAGAGTGCAAGCGCGCCCTCCTCAGTGTATACGCGTTGTAACGTTGACGCGATGGTCTTTTTTGGCTCCGTGCTGATGTCTTGATCTTTCACCAGGTTTCTCGCATCTTTCTGTTTCGGCTTAGTTTGCATCAGCACCTTAGCGCGAATGTATGGGAACAGAATAATAGTCGCAATGGATCGCGCAATAGCTCCCAGCACGAAAACCTTATGCATATAATTAACACAGTGAACCATAAGACAGAGGTCAAGGTGACAAGTATCCTCGACTCAACGCCTGCCCTTACCTCCAACGCGCCAAGTGCCTGTGACGCTTGCTTAAACTTGCGCAGATACAAGTTCTTGAGCCGCTCAAATGCCGTGTACTGGATCGCCGGCTGTAGACACAGCACAAAGTAGGCCCCTAGTCCCTTGTAGAGTCCTCCGACACCGCTCTCCTTGATAATTGAGCGGAGGATCTGCAGAATACTGCCAGACTCGGAGCCAGTCTGCATCCTCGTACCTACGAGCTCCATGGGCATCGTGACTGGTAGATGACACAGCTCACTCAGGTAGCCAATGCCAAGGTCTGTGAGCGTGCCAATGGGTTTTCCATCTTTAGGTGTAGCCATCTGAGCTAGCATTGTGTATGCATAAAAGTACATGAGCTTGGAAGTCGACGACTCGGCTGCTTTGTACTGGATGCCCTGGTATAATGACTTGAGAAGCGTCATATGCTTATTTTTCTTCGTGGGTGTGACATTGTTATCCTCGGGAAGCAGCGAAGCTCCCGACTGAATGCGCGTCTTGAGTGTATCCAGAGGGTGCAAAATGCTCGTCGATAGGAAACCACCGACACCCGCTGCTGTAGCCGCTGCCATCATTTCCATTGGTTTACTGAGCGCCATGTTAAAGAGTATCTAGACGGATTTCTTCGAATGGGTTCTAATAAGGGGTTAACCAATCAAATGCAGTTTAGACGTGGAATGTGATAATAGCTTCATGTAATATATTATAAGCCAAGGCAAACTGAAAAGCTCCATAGCAAGATGAGACAGAAAGTGGCTAATAAGAGTTGCTCTCTTTAAAGTTTTGCTATCGCAGTCATAAAGTGCGCGGCCGATTCTCGAAAAGGAGGAACGTTGTATAAAAAACATTGCGCTACACGGCGTACAAACCGAAAAAAACGATTTTCTATTGACTAAGGATTAGCTTTCCAATCTCTTCGACACCGAGTGTTTTTATGCAACTGGTATTGATGATATTCCGCCTAATCATCGCCTCACATTCGCTTATTTGATCCCGATTACACAAAGGTCCAGACTTTAGATCCAATGGAACGCGCCAGTATCCGTGCAGTAAATACGTCCACACCTATAGGCTACTGGGGGCCCCCTACCTCCACCATCGACTGGTGTGAGCTTAATTACGAGTACTCCTACTATATCGCCGAGTTCTGGAACACCATTAGCAACTTGCTCTTTGTTATATTAGGATTCTATGGCCTCTATCGCAGTATCAAGATGGGTTTCGAGCCTCGCTTCCACCTGCAGTATATTGGTGTAATGGTCACAGGCTTCGGGTCTGCCATGTTCCATGGTACACTGCAGCACGTGTACCAGCAATGTGACGAGACGCCCATGGTCTGGTCGGTCTTAGCGTGGATCTACATCGTATACAACAACGAGATCGAGCAGATTCCTGTCAAGAATGCTAGCAACTATGTAATCGCATTCTTGACGACAATTGGCGTCATCTTTACGGTAATGCACGCTATCTATCGGTTCACGACGGCCTTCCAGCTCTTCTTTGCCGTCCTCGCTGTTCTCGCATGCGCTCGTCTATGCATGCACTACACTGAGGTGAAGGACCCGAGAGCTCGTGCTGTCGCGAGGTCCTACGTGATATCGTGTCTCTTTGGCCTTGTGTTCTGGGTCATCGACTACCATTACTGTCATACTGTTCGCGGCCTACCTATAAACCCCCAGGGTCATGCCTGGTACGGTATTTGTGTCAGTTGCTGCTGTATATACAGCTGCTAACGTGTTATCGTCGTTATTTCTTGCAGGTGGCATATTTTCATGGGAGTTTCGTCGTACTACGGCCCGATCTTTATGCTGTATGTGCGATTGGAACAGCTTCAGAAGAAGGCCCGCATCTGCGACGCGTGCTTTTGTATTCAGACCATTACCGTGGAGGATAACGGAGCCATGAAGTCGAAACTGTTGTAAATACCGTACTGCGACATGGTTGTAAACACCTTCGAATGGTGTTGGTGCGCCAGTGGCTGTCGTCCTATAAGCGTTTAAACGTAATACTCTCAAAAGTATACAAGAGTATAAATTACAGCGTAAAATATGGTCAAAATTACGCTGGCGTTTTTTTGTGTTTCGGACTACGCAATCAACCACCTCTTACTGTACAATCATAAATTTCCATATTACTCAAAAACGTCAAGTTCTTCAATTTAAGAAAAGTCAAAATTCTAATGTTGAAGTTTAGAATTTTCTCATCGACGTGACAATGTCGATTCTGCTGTCAGTTCTGTTCCTTCTCAATACTTTTTCCACCACGATGGCCTCTATCGATCGCATAAGTATGCGTGTAGCAAACATGTCGACACCTATAGGCTACTGGGGGCCCCCTACCTCCACCATCGACTGGTGTGAGCTTAATTACGAGTACTCCTACTATATCGCCGAGTTCTGGAACACCATTAGCAACTTGCTCTTTGTTATATTAGGATTCTATGGCCTCTATCGCAGTATCAAGATGGGTTTCGAGCCTCGCTTCCACTTGCAGTATATTGGTGTAATGGTCACAGGCTTCGGGTCTGCCATGTTCCATGGTACACTGCAGCACGTGTACCAGCAATGTGACGAAACGCCCATGGTCTGGTCAATCTTAGCGTGGATCTACATCGTATACAACAACGAGATCGAGCAGATTCCTGTCAAGAATGTTAGCAACTATGTGATCGCATTCTTGACGACAATTGGCGTCATTTTTACGGTAATGCACGCTTTCTATCGGTTCACGACGGTCTTCCAAGTCTTCTTTGGCATCTTGGCTTTCCTTGGAGCCGGACGACTCTGCATGCACTACACTGAGGTGAAAGATCCGAGAGCTCGTGCTGTTGCGAGGTCCTACGTAACGTCGACTCTCATTGGCTTCGCGTTCTGGCTCATCGACTATCACTACTGTCATACTTTTCGCGGCCTACCTATAAACCCGCAAGGCCATGCCTGGTAAGATTTGAAGAGGACTCATGCTACTGAGTATATATCTAATTTGTGTGTGTATGAAGGTGGCATATTTTTATGGGAATTTCGTCGTACTACGGCCCGATCTTTATGCAGTATGTGCGAATGGAACAGCTCAAGAAGAAGGTTCGTATTCACGATACGTGTATTGGTATTCAGACTATTATCGTGGATGACAATGGCTTGGATTACCCAAAGAATATCAAGCAGCTTTAACGATCAGACACAAATAGTGCCACTCTATTATATCGGGCAAAAAAACTGAGCGTTTAGTACTGAAATAAGTACGTAACGTTCGTTTAATTCAATATAAAAAAGATCCCATTTTTTATACCATGTCACAGATTGTTTTCATAGTCACGTCAATGGAGCTCGCATCGGCCTTGCTACAGCTCGTTAATGACGCTACGGACGCACGTGTCTCGAATTTGAGCGAGAAAGAACTCATTGATCGATTAAAGAACGTTAAGAAGCAATTGCAATGCCCAGAAAGCTTGACAATCCCCCGAGAATCCATCGCAATTGGCGTCTGTCACGTCACTAGTCAAGTTGTGGGATTTCTTGTCCAATATCGACCCGTTTTAGCACAAACAGCGAGTCTCAAGTGGCAGAAACGCGTCTTTATCTTAGAAACAGCAGTGGCAAGTGCATTTACGGTCATTGGAAGCTTTGAAGACACTGAATTGGCGCTGAAACATGAAGATAGTAGAGACTTTTGCAGCATTTACAGGAGGCTACTGCATCGGCTCTGGAAGGCTTCGCAGTTACTAGAACAGGCAGTCAATGTAGTGGCTGTTATGATTAAATTGTGTGTACTGTTAGCAATTTGCTGGCTGTCGTACGACCGAGTGGGGAAACTAGTGGAGACTGAAAAGCTGCTTAAATTGTGTAGCGATTTCTGCTTGGAGCACGAGTCGTTGCAGGATCAGATCAAGTGGCCACAATTTCTACTTGGAATAGTGAATTTGGTGGAGAAACAGGATTGTAGTGAGGCCTTACGATGTTTTCAAAACGTTGTGGAGAGATGTGGCGGCTTAGCAGAAGAAGACGGCGTTCTTTTCTATTGGTACGCGGTGGCGTTGATCCACAATAATCGTATAGCTGATGCTGTAACTGCGCTTGATACGTGCATTCGAGCAAACTATGAACCTTTTTCTTGTCTGTCGCTCCAGGCATTGGTGAGTTTGCAAGCTCAGGACTATTATACAGGTGCGGAGCAAATGCAACGTGCATTGAAAATTGACTACACACATTCGAGGTCGCTGTTCAACTACGCGCTTTTAATGGAACGTATGGGCAACTTTGAGGCGCAGCAGCAACTACTAAAGTATGTTTTGGATCCTCATAGAGGTGTAGGCGGTCCTTCTGAAGATAGCAAGCGCAAGCAGACTGGTGATGTCATCGATCCCTCTAGCGTAACAGCATCACTTTTTGAGGATGCTAGACTGGCACCTTTGTTTCCATCTCGGCTGACAAGTGTAGACATATCGATAGCGCACTTTCATCTGGGTTTAGCGACCATGGAAAATGGTAACTGAATGACTTTACAATGCACAAATAATTACGAGGATTGAACTAACTTGGTGGCGTACAGGCAATTGGTTGGAGTCAAAGAAATATTTTGAAAAGTTTCTTGGTTTCGGGGAGCTCAACCAATCTGTGTGTATTGTTCTGGAGGCCGCTCGGGACTATATCTACGTGCTGCTTCAGGTATGACCCGATTTGGTTTGCTGAAGCGTTTACACGAGACTAATTTTGCTCTGCGATTTCGCCCAAGTAGTGCAAACTACCGTCGTTGGCGCTTAGAAAATGCGAGCAGTATTTGCTGGAACACGAGAATAGCAATTTAATGAAGCCAGACAATGTTGAAGCGGCTTCGCTTCTTCTCCATCTATACAAAGCTGATGCTTTGCTTTGCTTGGAACGCGTCGACGAATGCTATGAGTACCTGAAGCAGATTGTTCAACCGAAGATCCAAAGTGTAATGCGACGGCCAAGTGCTGCTGCTCAAAATACTGACTCAATCTCTGGAGAAATTGCAACATGTCACTCGCAATTACTGAACAACTTAGCTGTTGTTATAACATGCTGCTCTGGTGTCGACGCTGGTCTTTCAGTCCTTAACAATGGGCTGGAACTATATCCTGATTGCCTCGCTATCAAGTTCAACCTTGTTCTGTTGCTTTGGAGAAAGGGTGACAAAGCCACTGCATGCTCTATTTGGGTCAAAGCTCGAGACTGGGATCTTCAACAAAAGCCTGGCGAGGAAGGTGAAGGAATTCCACTACATCATGCGGCTATGTACCTGAATGCTACAACGTCAGCTAGTCAATCTCAAGCGTCATCCATTTCGGAGCACGTACAAGGTAAAATTGATGGAGTTGGTGGTGTATCTGCGCAACAACTCTTGTATTTGGATGCGCTGATTTTGAATCATTGGCGTAAAACTCGGAAATCACAACTTGCTGGTTCACTCCAGTGTGTAGAGTTTCTCGAGAGTCGAGGTATCACAGATATTAGTCGGCACAAAGAATGCTAAAGTGAAGCTTTGTTACCACGAGCTGCTTCGACAGAAGTTTGAAATCTACATTCTTCGTTGGCGGTTGGAATCAACACGTTGCTGCAAGCATCCGAAGTTCTAAGCGACTCAAGAATACCAGGCATAGGTTTGCTTATTTTGCGCCCAGTGGCGCTGGACTAACCAAATATAATACCGAGCGACCAAGAATACGTGAAGGAAGCTACGGTCCATGCGTATCATAGTCACTTGATAAGATATGTCTGAGAAAGTTTAATCGTATGCTTACCACTCGGGTAAATGGTTACGCCATCGTCATGAAAGTCGTCATCATGTCAGTTCGCCAAGCGAGTAGATAGTGGGATTCACGGTCACATGCTTTATTTGACATCAAGAAATGGTATAAACCAACCTCAGCACGTTGTCGTAGTCGTCTATTTTCGCAAATATTCGCAATAGATTGTCATTGCGAGTCATATGTGCACAGTCTCCACTTTAACGTAACTAGATAGTCTTTAGCAACTGTAATGGGGCACCCTCCGACTATACTGATTACAGTATAGTCTACTTTCACTGATTACAGTGAAAGCAGGTGCCTCAATTTACCTCTCTTACACAAGAGGCAGAGGAAGCTTTACTTCTAAAAAACGCTTAGAAGTAGAGGAAAAAAAACTGTATTTAATATAGTTAACTATCTTAATAAAACTAATCTGTTATAACCTATGTTAACTATATTAAACTACAACTATGTATGTTGACGACTTGCCCTCCACTCATTGCGCGCGTCCATCGGTCATTGGTCAGCGCGTTGGTTGATATGATGGCCCATATCAACCAATGAGAGGGCATCTCCAACTTCGAGGAGATCTAGGAACAATATTATTAGAAAAGGTAATATTGTCAAAATATTATTAGTTATAATAATATTTTATTGACACTTCATATAAGTGTCAATATTATGTAACGGGCTCACCCCGTTACAGCAACCACATCTGCTTCATTATCTTTGTCAGACGCAAACTGGCGTCGGATATGGCTCTACTTTTGAGAATGGTCATTATCGATATGGGATCGTCATGGCGTCAAAGTGACCAACAGTTTTTGTTCTGGTTAGTGTGCTCAACTAATTTGATTGCATGTTTTGTTAATGAACTACTGTTCCTCGTACGAGCCCAATCGAACACGACACAATTGGTGCGATCTCGTATTTCCTTCTAACGTCTTGCAATGTATGATGTACTTAGTACAGCGATATCGATTATCGAATCCTAATCGATAGGATACGGTATTACCGAATACCGTATCTTAACAAAATAGCGCTCATACTTAATACCTCTCGAAAGAAAAGTATCTAGAATGCATTACATGCAATATAGAAATTTTAACCGTACTTTCGGAATGATGTTCCAACCGTCGTGTAACCCCGTTATACTCTCCCCACCAGACTGACGTTCCCAATAGAATGTCATTCGACGCCTTTCTCTTTTGAGGTAGTGCTTTAGCGAACGTTAAACCTTACGGTTGTTACGGCACACATGATGCCTCCTGGCAATGAGTCCACAGACTCTACGAGATCTCATTGAATGAGACCTTGACAAAGCGGTTGATTACGAAAGAGAAACCTTCTTCGTGGGACCCGATGGGTCTTCTTTAACTACACTAGAGTGTGAAGATGACACTAGTCATGCGCCGAATCCGTTCCCTGAACGTGGTGCTGCAGATGCGCTAACAACGTTACGTGACAAACCTGACGTATCATCAACAGCGACGGTTACCAACCCACTCGACGAACGACAGCAGTAGACCATTGATCAAGAGGAAGGCGCAAAGCGCCGGACAAAGAATATGGCTAGACTTCAGAGCCACCGGCAGTAAAAGTTCAAGCCACCCTTCGTGTAATGGCGCCTCAAGAAGGTATCCGACTAGTCCTTATCAGGCTGGGCCTTTGGGCCTAAACCACTTCCCCTGAGGATGTCGCTACGCGAACGGCTCTTGACAGCATTTTTTAGAACCCCACGCCACCCGCAAAGCCAATACTTGTCGCGCCTCACGTGGTGCATCAGTCTCTCCCGTAAACGGTGTTCCCATCATTATAGTCGTGGGAGAAACCGATAAGAAGGAAGATACGGCTTTTAGCATCTGTGAACAATATGCGCGACGCTTTAGCAACATGTGGGCTCTACGAGTAAATGCCGACGTGGAAGATGCTCGTCTCAAACGAAAAATGCGTTACGATCACGCTAAGCTGAAGTCCCAAGGCAAGTTGAAGTCACATCAAACGCAATATGCGTCTGCTACGCAGCACTCCAGTGTTTCGGGTACACCTGTAACCGCGAGTTTACGACAGCCGAGGCCGCTAACTCGCCTACCCCATTACTACTGGTGAGAAGCGCCATCGCCAACAGGTTGGCCTTGCGCAGGACGTTCAAAAGCGTCCACGGCGTACGAATAAATCTGCCGTAGGGGGACCTCTGATTCCCATGAGTTCCACGACTCGGGTATCCCGGCGGGGATACCCCGCCACTTTAACAGATACTGGTTTTGGCCGTGGCGACGACACTTCTGCGGAAGGCGCTCCACATGAACTGAAGGTTACTTCGATCATCGAGAAATGCCGGAGGAGGCCGGTGTATCGGCACAAGCTCATGCCGAGCTACTTTTAAGAGGTGAAGTGTCTCCGTGAGACTATGCAACAGTTGAATACTCGCCTCGAGTCGTTGGAGCAGAGTCGGACTCAAGTGGAGGGTCATCTTGACCTCTTGGTGAAAATAATACGTCCTGCGGCAGTGCCGATGAGCTTGTCGCGAGCGCCTTATCATTCACGTGGGACGGATCCCAATATGGTTTGAGCATGTCAACGTAGAATACGGGGTGTGTACGCAATTTGTGCGGCAGATTAAGCGTATACGCTTAGCCTTTCTGGCCACGACCGTAAAGGGTACGATGAAGCGCGGCCGCAATTTCGTCTTAAAGACAGCAGACACTACATTTGTAGGTAGGTTCTTAGCATTGAGTAAGACTTGGTTTCCGACCTCATAATAATCAATACAACTTCTGCCTTTAGCATCCGCATATCCTTTTTGTTTGTCTTGGCTATCAGCCATTGCGTCTTGCACATGTCGTAAGACATTTAGTCGCGTTTCGAGAAACGTATTCACCTAGTATTAGGGCTGACATCAGCAAGCCGATCGGCAACCTCTTCCCCACCAAGCCCTAAACCACTCGGTGGTAGCGATAACGGAACGCGTGGGTGTGTGAGACCATTCACATAGAACAGAGTGTAGCCGGTTGAGGCTTGCACAGATTTATTGAGTGCAAGATCAACAACAGGTAGCATAGAGCTCCAACGCTTAGTCGTTTCGGCACAAACGGTGCGGAGGATATCTTCAACAACGCGATTTACGCGTTCGGTCTAACCATCGGTCTGCGGATGATCCGCTGTAGGCATGTCCAATCGGGTGCCTAGCACCTGGAAGATGGACTTCCAAAATTTACTCGTGAAACGAGGATCACGGTCGGAAACAATCGCGTCACCAAATGTGTAAACGTAGCGGAGCATTCGACAGCGCCTGGGGCATCACCAATTACTCCCAGATCATGCCGCTCGGATTACTAACTGCAATGAGAGGAATATCGATAGCTCGCATGAGCGATTGGTAATTATTATCGACTAAGTCGAGCGCACTGTACATGATACAATCGACCATATTGTTATGAAGAACATCATTTCTAGGTATTGGCGTCTGTGCAGGTATAGTGGCTGCATTGAGCTTATTATAAGCGTGAACAATACGCCACTTACCTTTGGGTTTCTTGACACAGAAAGTAGGTGTAGAGTGCGAAGATTTGCTCTCGCGCACCATACCTGCCGCGTGCTTTGCACAAAAGAGCTCGCCAATGACGTCACACCGTTCTCTGGGTAAAGTCCACTGCCGTGTTACGCAGTACTTGGTGCTATGAACCAAGTCAATCTCATGACGTACACCCCTATCAGGGGGCAGAACAGACGGTGGAACACAACACACCGCGCCCTGAAGCTCCTAAACTAAAGGGTAGTAGGGATCCGAAGAATTCTTTAATTTAGATGATACGCTACGTGGAGTAAGTATCTTTAAGGACTGCCTCATCTATATACGAAAAAAATTTTTTTTTTAGAATAACTTATAATTTTTATTCTACCAAATTTAAAAATTTAGATTTAAATTTTAAAAAATATTAAAAATAGAATATTTTATACTTTTTGAGTTAAAAAATAAATTATATAAGCGAGGATGAGTTCAACTTGAGATTAGGTCGAATGATCACCATATCGGATAGATCACCAGCCTTCAAGGCTTGATGAAACTGATCCACAAACATCTCGTCAAGCTCTAAGAGAGCATGTAAGGATGGGAGGGCCTCAAGGTCAATCTTATTATCTACATCACCTTTTACTCCGTACCTAGGGTATACAACTGGTCACTGACATCACTACGTGATGAAACAGACGTCTTGTGTCTTGCATCCGCCATCTGACGACGCTGCCGTCTCATTAACGAGACCGTACCTTTTGAAGCACTTGGGATATCATCATCTTCAAGGTCGATAGATTCCTTGACCTTAACCTACTATATAAGAGAGCAGATGTCATTCCGACATACAGTGAGTCATCGTCACATGTGACATCACTAACAAGGTCTTCGACCTTAGCTTGCTCTATACGAGAGCCGATATCATAACCGACATCCAGTGAATCGCTATTACAGCCAATACCACTAACAAGGTCATCGACATTAACTTGCTTTATACACGAGCCGATGTCATTACCGACATCCAGTGTCTCAATATTACTATGAGTATCACTTAACGGAGTACGTGCCGTTCCACTAAGTGTCATTGAGCTCTGCTCGACACTATTATTGTTGACATTGGAGTTTATCAACTCAGACACTCCAATGTCCAGTACACTAACTGAATCAGTTGATGGATCGCGCCAATAGCGCTTCTAATTCTTAGCATGTGTGGATTCATGACTCTCCAAG